TTTTTGCAGGAAAATGCGAGATGGATATGAGACTTTGCTGACTATCGTCCTATGCATAGCACATGGGGCCTGCCAAGTTTCAGCCCCCATCTCTTTTGTTTGGCGGAGGTTGGTTTCTGGCACCCTCGGGTTGCGCCGATCAATTGATAGTTCCGGGTCGGCGTTCAGCCGCGGATGGACAACGATTCCAGCAGTAGCCGCAAGCAAGTACTCAGCCCATTGGCCGCAGCAGCAGCAACAACCGTCTACCTACCCTTTCTTCCGTTGGTTCCGTCGACACTTGGACTAGGATTGGTCCGTTGTGCAAGGCGGTGAAGATCATGCGGCCAATTCGGATGACAAGACTCTTTCCAAATTAGAAAAAACACAGTTTGGGTTAGTCAAAACAAAGTAGGGTTAGTTGGATTCAAATAGAAAATAGGGGTTAGACAAGTACAACTTACACTCGTAGGGCCATAGGAGATACAGGTTATGACACCCCACACTAGGGAGGGAGTAGCGGTGCTCAAATAGAGCACACGCGAGGGTGAAGAGCCATAACGATGGAAACATGCGGTTCTATCACATACCTTATGGCTAAATGAGGCATTCAAGAGTGAAGTGGGGTACTACCAAGTAAAAGATTGACGAAATTATGAGAGAAACTTGACAAAACGCATACACATGACGAGTGGAAGCACTCAAGCGTGTAGCATATTTACATCGAAGTGGAAGGTTGAGCAGAACTTGAACATAAAGACGAGAAAATACACATTCAAGGCTAGTAGAGGCAAAAACCAAAGTAGCGATTCACGTCTGAGTGAGGAATGCACAAAACAAGAGTGAATGAAACTCACTTCACTAGAAGAAGCAAGAATCAAAGTTGCCTTTCACACTCAAGTGGAAAATTGAACAATACTTGAAAAGAAAGTTGACAAAACACACACTCAAAGTTATTTGAAGCAAAAACCAAAGTGGTGATTTAAATGGGAGTAAAGAAATTGACAAAACAAGGGATAATGAACCTTACTATACAAGAAGAAGCAATAATCAATTTTGTGATTTACACCCAAGTGGAAGGTTGAACAAAACTCGAAGACAAAGATGACAGAACACACACCCAAGACTTGTTGAAGCAAGAACCAAAGTAGCGATTTACATGGGAGTGAAGAAATAAACAAAACAGGAGAGAATGAAGCTCACTACACTAGAAGAAGCAAGAATCAAAATAGCGATTTACACCCAACTGAAAGATTGGACAAAACTTGGGGAAAAAAAAAACAAACACATACTTAAGGGGAGTAGAGGTACAAACCAAAGTAGCGATTTACATGGGAGTGAAGGAATGGCCAAAACAAGAGAATGAAACTCACTACACTAGAAGAACTAAGAATCAAAGCAGCGATTTACACCAAAGTGAAAAATTGGACAAAACTTTGAGAAAAAGATGACAAAACACACACTCAAGGCTAGTAGAGGCAAAAACCAGAGTAACGATTCACATGGAAGCGAAAAATTTGACAAAACAATAAAGAAAGGTGCTCACTAGACTAGAAGAAGCATGAATTAAAGTAGCGGCTTACACCCAAGTGGAAGATTGGACAAAACTTGGAGAAAACAATAATAAAACACATACTCTAGGCTAGTAGAGTTAAAAATCAAAGTAGAGATTTACGTGGAAGTGAAAAAGTTGACAAAACAAGAGAGAATGAAGTTCACTACACTAGAAGAAGCAAGAATCAAAGTAGTGATTTACACCTAAGTGGAAGACTGGAAAAAACTTTGAGAAAAAGATGAGAAAACATATGCTCACGACTAGTAGAGGCAATAACCAAACTAGCGATTTACATCGGGGTGAAGAAAAAGACAAAATGGAAGCAATATTTTAGCCAAGAACCTACTACCTACTCTTCCCAAGTTTGGGGTATTAGTTATAGAGAGAAAGTAGGGACGAGGAGAAAGTGAAGAGGAGAAGGAGAGGAAGGAGGTAGAGAAGAAGAGAGAAAGGAAAAAAAGAAAGAAGGTGGTAAGGAAAAGGAAGGAGAAAAGGGAGGAGGAGGAGGAGAAGAAGAAAAAAAAAAAGAGGACGATGACGACGACAACGACGACGACGACGACGACAAAGAAGAAGAAGAAGAAGAAGAAGAAGAAGAAGAGAAAGGGAAAAAAAAAAAAAAAAAAAAGGTGATGAAAAAATGTAAGCACCTCCTTTCCACTCACCTCCTCTTGTGCCTTGGTCTTGTGATGGCAACCTTGATGAAGCTTGTTCTTTCTATGCATACTTGTCTTTTGGCTATGACTTCCACCTTCTTCAAGCCCTTCTCAACCTTCCCTCCTCAATCTCTATCTGATTATGGCAAATTCCTATCACTAAGCCTATAGAGTCCTTTCCTCTAGAAGGGCTAAGGGGACTCCCTTTAGCCTTCCTTTCTTCCTCACAGTCTAAGAGCTATGGCAGAACAGTCGCCTAGGCCAGCACCACTTCCACCAGCCTCTGTAGCTCCTTCCACTAGCCTAGAGTCTCCCTTAAACTCTCATACTGGCAGCGGTTCCCCTCCTCTCACTCTGGTTGAGCCTAGTGCTCTCTTGAGCTTATTTGGCCAGCATCTACTTGCCTCATGCCAATGCGTGTGGGGCGGACTTCTCCCCCAACTTAAATAGGCTAGGCGCAACACTTCGGTCAGCCCTTGGGCCTTTCCCAAGCGCCCAAGGTGAGCCGAGGTACCCCCAAGGCCTCCTTTCAACAGTGGGTCTCTTTGGAAGTCGGGCCTTATCTTGGTCAAGTACATGTAGTCCGAGTGGCAGGTACCAACTCAAACTGCCCTTGGGGTGTTTCTATGATTTACTTCCATCTTCATACAGTACCCCTTGGGTCTGAATAATGAAAGGGCAAACTTGTTTGAAAAGAAAACGTCTTTTGAACCTTTTCTTCAATTTTTTCAATTTCAGTGGGCTAAGGTACCTCCTTGTGCCTTTGTGCATTTTCTGCCTTGGATCTGACCAAGATCTTAGGCCAAAATTAAGTCGAGCTACCCACAAGTGGTCATTGATTCAAATTTGAGCCCCATGACTCTCTTTTTCAATTTCTAGCATCTGGCCTCAGTTTTTGGTGAAATGCAGTGATTTTTTTTAATTTTTTTTTAGATGACAACTCATTCCGGAGTTGGCCGTTTGAGTTGGCATAACCAAAAACGGTGATTTTGTCTCTTTCATAGATCTGAATCATGACCCAAAGAAACTGACAATTTTTTTTTTTTTTTTTTTTTTTTTTTTTTTGGATTTTATCGAGATAATGCCCCAAGGACCTTATCTCCTCACTCAGGATTTACCTCCACTAGATCCAAAGTGATGAGGTCACAGTGCGGACCTGCCAGTCCCTACTGTGTCAGTCTCAACTGTTTGGGCAATTTTCCTTCAACTTTTCCCCCCCTTTGTCTCATTTTCCCTCCTTTTTCTCTCCCTTTTTTTTTTTTTTTTTTTTTCTTTTATTTATGATGTGACAAGTGCCAAAGAGTTGTTGACACTCTTTTTAGGCAATGGATGTTGATGTAGGTCTAGATCTAGATCAAGTTGCTGTTCGTTATTTCTCGGATTACAATAATGACTCCCCCATTCCTATGGAGGCTTTATTTTGCCTCCATTGGCCTCAATTCGTGGTGGGGGGGTTGGATTTTTCCCTTGCAACATATTTTTTAAATAGAGTCACCTGGGGTTGCTTGGGGGGGCTCTGCATGCATGTTGCCTGCCGAATGTTGAATGCAGGTCATCTGATATATGTAGTGTTGGGGGCTCTGCATGTTTGTTGCCTGCTGCTGTGATGTCTGCTGCATGCATGTTGACGACAGTTGGACTGACATAGATTGAAGAAGACTGTCGAGAAAAACAGGAAGAAGAACACTGACGAGAAGAAAAAGAAGAAGAAGAAGAAGAAGAAGAAGAAGAAGAAGACTGACAACTTGCACGGAATGTTCGAGTTCTTTAGCAGCATATCAGATGCATATGGCCAATATCGATCCACATTCTCTCTCTCTCTCTCTCTCTCTCTCTCTCTCTCTCTCTCTCTCTCTCTCTCTCTCTCTCTCT